GGGTCTTTTATCCAGTCCAAACAGGAGCCCACACAACTCCCGTGCCAATAGTGAGTATAATATTGAAAATCAAAATTACAGGTACATTTTATGAAAGTTTGAAACCCCTTTACCATATTTACATGTTTTAACATCTTCTTCCAAATATATATATGCCAGAAAAACTTACATAATGGTTCACCAACTTCCCATCTCTTTTAAGAAACACTCTAAAACAAACAGCAGAAGTGAACGCATCTTCACGCAGCCTCTTTGGGTAATCTGAACCCTCTGCCCTGTGAAAGAAGTGGGGTCCTCAGGCAGTGCCTGGCAAAGAGGCACTGCAGCACCATTGCCCCAGGGAAGCTGGGCTGAGGCAAGTTGTGGCTTGCAGAGACCACATCTCAGAAGTGAGATTCAGGGGAGTTGAAGCTTGCATGCTGTAGAGCACAATGCCAACCAGACAGGCTCTAATCAAGTCAAAAGCCTGTGACAAACACCAGCCTTGGTGGAGCATTGGTTGGGTTATATCATACTAAGATGCCGCTAAAGCATTAAGCAAAGCAGATTCCATACAAGCTGTGAGCAGTAAGAGAACTGCCTGTGCAGGAACGAGCTACTGATGTTTGGGAGGTGCTACAAGACAGCATCCTGCTAAATATGCCTGCAAAATAACCAAGGGAGAGTGATGGAGTAAGTGGGGCATTTGCTGAACACTTACCAGTGCCTCTGAGAGAGATGGCAAGAACATACCCCAAGTAAGGCACACACATAGGATAATAGATTATTATTTTGAGCATTGTACAAATAAAAAAGTCACAAACAGACTTTGCTCCAGCACAGCAGAGCCAGAACGTGCTGTGCCCGTAGCATGCCACAGACATTAACACTTTGTCTGCTGGATGTGAGTGGGTTGGTGCTCTGTCCTCTGGCCCGTGCTCCCAGACTGGCCTTTGCTGCTGAGCTGAGGCTGCAGTTGCTCCGCTTGGAGCAAGAAGACATCACTGACAGCACCAAGCAGCACATCACAGCTCCAGGGTGTCTGAGGCTGCAGTACTGACATGTAGACAAGGAAGGACCAGAGAAAAACAGCAAACTAACGATCAATTGACACTTTCTCGCTGAGGAGTATGATTCTGCCAAGTTCTGAATTTCAGTAGATTCATTAGGACAGCATTTCTGAAAGGGCAGCTCTGCTTTTCCCTACAGAAATAGTATCTGTTTATACCTCAGGCTCCTACTAACAGCCAGGGACCACCCAAGAATAACATAAGCCTGAGAATATTTCTGATAAGTTTAAATATAAAATTACACATTATTTACACTAGTATTTTTGGTATCATCTGTCAACTGTTAACTGCAGAAATTAATCCAAATAAATGAGGATGCTGTTTTGTTAATTTGCTTATGAGAAGTAATTGCAGTGCAGTGGATTACTGGTTACTGACAGCACAACAGATCATCTTTTCAGAGGGAATTATCTCCTTAGGAAGGCAACAGGGTGTCATGCAGGGCTCAGAAAAAGGCAGTTTTGAGAAAAGGACTAAAAATGACTATGGTGAATCTGCTGAGTCTCTCTTAGAGTATCTCATCATAGCCAGCACAAGGTGCTTCAGAGAGAGCTGCAAGAGCCCTTAAAATTGGATTTGAATCACTCTAGTGCTGAACAAGAACCTGTTTTAGAGTGGTTCTGTTGACACCTGTTTCTGAGCAGTCAGCCACCACATAAAGATGGACAAGTGGGTGGGAGCAGCCACCTGCCAGTACAAAACAGCACCTCTGGAACCTGCTTGAACAACATTTCTCTATTCCCTCCTAGATTAGCATCATTCTGCTGCCCTGGGATTAAGCACTGCGTTTGTTTGCTAGAAAACTGCAAAACAACTCAGATTTGCCCCCAGCTAGGGTTGTATAGGTTAGGCAGGAAAGTCTCAAGAGGTTCTTGATCTCCACTAGGTCATGGCTACCAGAATTACTCAAAAGAAGTGAGATTCATTTCACTTCACTGTACATATCTAAACGTTAATCATCTTTACCTAAGCAAGTCACCCTGGGCTCCCTTCTGACTCAGTGGAGAGAAATGGGCCCCTCCAAAAGGCAGCTCATTTCATCTTCCCCTAGAGGATGCCTAAGATGGATGAGATGAGTTGCCTTCTGGAGGTGTCTATTTCTCTCCATTAGCTATACAGGAAGCCTGAGGTGGTGTGCTTGCACTCTGATGATTAACTCACAATGTCAGAAGCTAAAGGCAGATGAATCCCACGTGCACTGCATCAGCATTTGAGCAGCCAGCCCTGCAGACAGAAGGGATGGGGTTACAGAGCACACTGTTGATAGCCACTCTGGTGGCTCCTTCCAGCCCTGCAGAGACATGCCTGGTGACATGTCCAATGACCACCTAGGAAGGAAATAACAACCTAAATGCAAAGAATGGATCAGGAAATGAGAAGGGCAATATATTAAAGAAAGAAAAAGACATGTGCAGATAGCAAACAGTCCGTTATTCCCTGCTGGGTGTCTCCTACCCAAAACATCATGGCTCAGCATGACCAGTTATATCTGAATGATCCAGAACTGAAGTATGACTGTCTTGTGGTTAGCCCACAAGATGGTCCACACTACTTTTCCCAGTACATCCACAGTTCTGCCATGATGGAAATTTGGTAGACTGAACAGATGTATGCACACATACCTCAATGCATATTGTCTTGTCTGCAAGGCACATTTCTTTCCATGGCAAGACATTTGTGATATCTGATAGGAAGCAACTCAGCAGGCTTTACATCTACCTACAAACACACCCAAGAAATCACTGATCAGGTTGGAGGAGTATTGCTGGGATGCAGTAAGAGATGGTCCAGTTATGGTGATTTCTCCCCACCATGCAAGCTGAGTACTTGTCCCCAGTACCACTTAGTAGAAATTAAAGAGTCCTCTTATCACTGCTCAGAGCTGGGCAGATAAGACACAAAACTCTCTTGAGTACCAGCCTGGTGCCATAATTACTGACTAATGCTGTCTCTGTAGCCTGTCACAAGAACAGTTTTTGGCAGTCATTTCAGCTCCTTTCACAGTCACATGAAATTAATTTAATTAGTTTTTAAAATCTAAGGAATAATGGGATTTAATTGACTTAATGTGAAACTTTCTGGGCTGTCACTCCACCCAGCTTCCGATCAACTTGAAATCATTCAGCTGTGAGTGACTGATGTTTGTGCTTTTCATTGAGAACACTTTGTTTCAGTTAAAATCCTTCATTCCATGCTTAATTTTTGCATAAAATTATTTTTATTTTGCAGTCTGTGTTTTCATTGTCTGGTACCGTGGATGAAGGGCTCTCCATGTGGTATTGATACAGCCAGCTCCTACTGCTGGAAGTTTGTTTTACCAGTAGCTGCAGTATTTTAGGGGAAGATGGGTGAGATGTAGAGTTGCTGCCTGTGGCACATGTCAGAGCAAGTTGTTTTACAGAACCATGCACATATCTAAATACATACTAATCATGATGATGGCCCTGCTGAAGATTATGGCCCTGCTGTGGCTGATGTATGAACACATATCAGCCTTATCATCCTCCTCTAACGCCCAAATAGAAGAGATGTCAGAAACTTTCTGAAAAGTCTGAGACAGAAACTTTATTCAGCACTGATGACCATAAAAAATGCTTGGGAATCTCATTCCTTTGTTGTTCAAAATTTGAGAAGCGTATTAGCACATCATTGATGAGATCCAGAGATTGCTCTTTATCTATGTCATCTTCCATTCTCATTTTAGATCATGGAGCCCTCCAGCAGTCTTGAATGCACTTCACGAGAAAGCACCAGTACAGAGTTCTGTAATTTTTCTGTCCCATTGGTAAAGTGGGAGAGACAGGAACAGAGAATTAGATTTTTAAACCACCACTCCACATAAAAACACAGGTTTCTAAAGCTATACATAATAATACCATTTCTGATTAGGGACAATCTCATTAGAACAAAGCAGAGGTTCTTTTACTTCTTGTTTTCCTAGCGTCCCATGCATCCTTCCTTCCTTAGAAAAGCAGAAGCCTTTTAAGACTCTCCTGTGGGATTTTTATACTAATTATTTGGTATGTGAGGAAGCTTCCATCCTACCTATTTTGGTGGAAAATATAGCATCTAAGTTGCATCTGACAAAGTTAACATTACTAGTAGAAATTATGTCATTCTCAGAGGGAGCTACTTGATTTTTAGTCATTGATAGCCTCTAAACTCTCTCTATGGTACTTTCATAGGATATGCTTTGCTCTGTACAGCGTATACATGGCAAAACTGAGCCACTCCACTCCCGTGTGCTCAGACAGCGTGGACGCGGCGCTACAATCCCAAAACACGCTCGCAAGTCCACATGGTTCTCACTCCAGCTCCGCCTGTCCCAGGAGCCATCTCCTGCATTGGTCAGCACCGGGTGATCAGGGACGGGCTGTGAAGAGCGGGCAAGCCCCAAGCAGGCTCTCCCGGTTCCCAGACAGTCCCCGCACCAGGTACCAGCCCTGGAAACGCGCTGCCGCTGGCGCAGCTCTCTCCGTGCGGCTGAGCTCCAGCCAGGAGCGGGCTGAGCCACGCCGCAGCTGGGCTCCAGCCGGGGCGGCAGCCGCGGCCGCCCCCGCCCCGACAGGGCAGCGGCAGCGCCCCCGGCCCGGGCCGGGCGGCGGCCGCGGCCGTGCCTGAGCAGCGGCAGCGGCCGCGCCGGGCGGGAGCAGCGCCGGCGGCTTGGCCGCGGCGGCGGCACCGGGGCCGCTCGCTCCGCACGCCTCGGTGCCCGGAGGTGCCTCGGCGGGCGCGGCGGGGAGGGGCGGTGCCGTGTTGCCGCTGCCGCGGAACAGAACGGAGCTGCTGCATCCTCATCCTTATCCCCATCCCCATCCCCATCCTCACCTCCCCTCCCCTCCCTCGGCGCGACCCCGCCGGCTCCCCCCGCCCAGGGGGGCGGGAAGGCAGCGGGCGCTGCCCGCGGTCGCGGCGCGCCCCGAAGCGGCTCCGCACGGCGTTTCCCCCACCCCGCCCGCTGCCGCCGATAAATCCCAGCGCCGGGAGCAGCGCGGCACTCGGCGGCTGCCGCGCTGCGGGGAGGCGGCGGAGCTCGGCCCCCTCCCCGCGGCGGACACCCCCCACAGGGGAGCAGGAGCCGCGGCATCGGAGCCCAGGTGAGCGCCCGGGGCCGGGGGCGGAGGAACGGGACGGCGCGGGGCTCGTAGGAGCTGCGGGAGTGTGCGGGGCGCTTCGTCTGATATTCCCCGCTGCTGCCTCGAGGCGACCGGCTGCGAGGGGAAACCCCGCTAGCACAGCGGCGGGCGGGCAGCAGGATGCTGCCCTTTGCTTTCTCTGTGAACCGTGAAGTTTTCCTTCGTGAGCTTTGAGGCGGGGTCCCGGAGGGCTCCTTGAGGGCTGTGGTACCGCGGGAAGCTCGGAGAGGGGTTCAGCGGCGGGCGTACCCCACCTAGAGCGGCTCCGCCGCGGCGCCCGGTGCTCCCGCGGTCCCGGTGAGCAGCGCGCTCTCCGGGGCTGTCCGGGCATCCCCAGTCTCTATTTGTGCTGCTGTGAGGTCCACTCTCAAGTACCCCTCAATAGGTACTTTCTTTCTCACATCGAAGTGGGGGCTGAATGGTGAAATGATGCACAGGATGTAAAAATAGTTATTCTCAGTACTGTACGAGGTAGATTATATTCCTTGCTTCAGGAATGGACCTCCGGGGGCATGAAATGCAGGTGTTGAACTGTTCATCAAGGACCTGAAAGTCCTTGTAACTCAAAACGAGCAGCAGGTGGAATCGAGACCTTCATTTGGCTACAGGCTGTACGGTCCTTCAGTATCTAGACAGGTGGCGAGCAGAGGGCTGGTTGATTTAATTGCTTGTAACAAACCTTACTAGTCAAGTTTGAGTCCACGGCGACTAAATGGCATGCTATTAACAGCATAAGGCATTTAATCTGTGTTTAGTTATTTCCTGGTGGCTGGGAATCTTACAGAAAAAATTCTGAAATGTCCCATTTCAAAGGATTGGAATTCCTTTCAAAAACTGGGGCTCTAATTTTAAAAAGGAAAAAAAAAAAAAAAAGGAAAAACACATCGAATCTGCTCCTCTAATGATGCACTAATTTTCTATAGAGAGACCTGTAAAAACAACATCAACCCAGCAAAGTACTTGTTAAATTCAAGTGAGGGCTTACATACGATGAGCTTCAGTGGAATTACTCAGAAGCTAAAGGCAAGGCTGAAGGCAAACGTGCTTCTTTGATTCCCCAAACCAGGGCTTAAGTACTGTTCATTGAAGTATTCAGTTGCATGAATCACAGTCTTTCAAAAGTTCAAGGCAAATCAGGGAAAACATGGACTGAACAGCATTGTCAGCCTCTCTGCACAAGAACAAGGTAATCACCAGCCATGTGGATTTTTCCCGGGTTTTTTTAGGCAGTCTCTAAGTATAGAGTGAGCAGCTCTAGACTGTCTTGAAATGCGGATTACAATCTCCTAGGAGCCAGTAGCCCTCCATAATCATGGATTTGCTTCAACCTACCTTTGCATTTCAGTCATGTCTCAAACTTTGAGACTTGGAAGGGCACCTTTTATAGCATCTACCCAATTTTAAATATACAAGCACACAGAAAAGCTTTCTTAAAACCATGATCTCAAATTCATTTATAAGCACCAAAAGCATAGATTGTCGGGCACCAGATACATAGATAATTTTTGGGAACCAGAGCACTTGCCACCATGAAAAAAGGACAACATTATATAATTAAGATGTCCGAAGAGTAAAATTTATTTCTAAATATCTTCATTCTTCTGTGAGATACTCTTGGATTCCTATGAAATTAGAGAAAATTGTACTTAACTGTTCCCTGTTTGTCCTCTATTGACAAAGTCCCGTGCATGCTGAAATAATCTGTATCCTTGGATATCTTCCCATTCCTTTCAGGATGCAGATAAACATGCCTGTCTTAAGAACTTTAATAAATTTAAGATGTATGTTTGCTTGTATTGTTATTTAACAACTTCAGGAGTGTACAGACAGAGGCAGTGTTGGTTTTGCTGTTCTGAGCTTCGGCCTGTTGCTGTTGATAATGTGCCTTTGTTACTGTTGGGGGCAGTTTTGGGGTTTCCTTTTCCTTTTTATTTTCTCTGTAAAACCCACCATCTTCACCAAATGGCCACCTAAAGACAGTTGATGTCAGCTTTAAAATTTGTGTTTCCCTGAACCTGGTATTTCTGCTGAAATCCTGGTGCCCCTTTCTGGCAATTGCATTAGTAAGTAAAGAGGAAAGTGGCAGCAGCCCCTTTCTGACTGAGGGGTTTGGATTTAGCATAACATCCCTGTAAGAATTATATGTTTAGGACATAAGGGTCTCTTCCAGGACACAAAGGAAGCAGTCTCATATCTTAAAAAGGGAGAAAAAAAATCCCAACACAAACAGCAAGAAAAGCCTTATATCAGTTGAAAGTTGTTTGGAGAGTCATTGGTAAAACACATGGAGTACACCAGGAAAAAGAAAAAGGTCACCAGGCCAAACTCAACTCCATCTAATTAAGTCTGTCAAACTAATTCCTGGCACAACTTGACTGAAAATATTTCTCTGGATCTCCTTTGTAAAGTGACTAGTGTATTAAAAAGACAAGCACCTATTTCTCCACATGCTCATGTAAATATGTCTGTCTACGAACAGCCCTGTCAACAGCATTTAGCCTGTGTAAAATGAAACACCTGCCCAAGATTTTACTTCTGCAAACAGCTGGTGGATTAGCCCTTCTAAACCTTTTTACACTGATGATTTTGTGCTCTTGACAGTCCTGGCAGTAATAAATGTGGGGTCTGTGGAGGTCACTATGGTGGGAAGTTCAGCAGGTACAGATGAGGTCAGAATTTTAATGTAGCTGAGGTGAAGTAGAGATGTGATCTGCAGAAGTGAGTTCAGGAAGGCCAGGTAGGGAGCATCATGCTGAGCTGGGAATTATCTGCTACACAAATGTAATATGGGAAGCAGCTTGCCTGGTAACACTTCTACTAGTAAAAAAAAGCAGTGCTGAGAGAAAGCCAGACCTTTAACAATGCTGCACAAGGAGGATTGCACCCTACAAAATATGTGGTGGGATTTGGTCCCACGGCTTGATGTTGATGGGGTCTTGGCTGAAGGAGTCCATCCACCACTTGGGACACAGCTGTCAATTACCTGGTGGGGGTGCAGGGAAGGACTTAAAAACATGGTCTGAGGGAGATTAATCAGGCTCTTTAACCTCAAGAGTGAACTGAAGCAGGACATGCTTGTAGGCCCAAGATTTATAAGTTTGCTCCAAAAGGAAGGGAGCTACCTGCTCCCTGTGCAGCCAGTATGGACTCAAGCCCCTCTGTAACCATGGTGTTGGACCTGCTGAGAAACTTCCCATAGGGAAGCAGCAGCTGTACTCCTCTCCAGGCAAGGAAGCGCCCTGAAAGAGTGACAGGGTATATCCTTAGATCTGCTGGGCTTGGGTAGCACTTGGCAAAAGTGTGTTTGTAACAGGAAGCTATTCCTAAAAAGTGTTATTTTTCTTTAGTCCCACAGACAGCAAAGGCATCTTGGGCAAAACAAAGTTTGGGCCTCTACATTATTTAGAAACCGAATAAGCAAACTTGTCAGTCCCAACATCTAACTCCTCAAATCCAGAATGGGAACAAGGAGCCAAAATGCTGAAAGTAATGCTGTTGAAGACAAGGCTTAATCTTACAAATGGCAGTTGCCAAGGCTGTGGCTGATGCACAGGGCTTTCTAAATGCCAGTTTTCCCTCTGCTGTCTTTGCTGGCTGGATCCTTTTGCCCAGCTGGCAGACTCTTGGCAATACATCATCTGCCTGCTCTCCCTGGAACTGCAGGGAAACACCTCACCACATGACTGCTGGGGGCAGGGGACATGTCCTGCCTCTGCTCTGGACACCATCCACATTGCCAGAGCTTCCTTCTCCATGAACCCTAAGCACCCATTGCTGGGCATTTCCCTTCCCAAAGGGCCTGTGGGACATGGGGTACAGCTTCTTCCTGCCCAGCCCCATTGCTGCAGAAAGACACAAAGGGACATCTCTTTTGGGAGCAGGCAAAGCAAGTATTTGTTGCAGAAGCTTATAACAAAATTACCTTTCAGGGTCACCCGTGCTCTCCCAGGGGTCTGTTTGGGATCCTAAAAATTGAGTTTTTGGTAGCACCCAAACCATTATTCAGTCTCCCCGATAACTATCAAAATATATGCAGCGGTACCATATCAGCAGCTCATCAAATGCAATTTAAAATGTTTGGAGAGCAGTGTATTGCAAGTTCCCAGTATTGTCACTGGGTTGCTACCACTGGAAATCCTGTTCCTTTACACTTCTGGCCAAATGCCAAGGCTTCAGCCTGGCAGGGAACAGGATGCACTGAGACCTTTATCACTGCACTTGCCGAATTATCCCTTTTTCCCTGCAAGACTTTCCAAGTGCAGATATCCTGGAGGAATATCATGCTGACAGCTTCTAATTATGCTACTGGTTGATTTAACAATTTATGCTCTTTTAAGAGCTAGAAGTCAAGGAAGGCCAGGAATGATCCCTTCCCTGAGCCCACATCTCAGATGAAGTGGCATCTCTCTGGCAGAGCCTTTCAGGGGAGGGGAGTAACACACATCCTGTTCTCCAGGATGGATAGCCCCCAGTCCCAGCATGGGCTACATGAGCCTTTGGCTGTTTTCTGTCCCTCCAGATACCCTCTTATTGCCTCTGGGTGGTTTTGCAGCTATCTCTGCTGTGGCAGTATCTCACAATTTGTGACAGGGCCTAAATACACTGACGAGCTCCAGATCCACCTCTTTTTTAATCTGCTTGAAAAGGTTTTGGTTTATATTTGTAGCATAAGCAGCACAAAAAGGCAAGATAGTTATAGACCGACACATTTATTTACTTTAATGTATTCCTCCCCACAAGCTAAATTAGACAGATTCTCCTATTAAGGTTTACTGGTTCTAGTTTACTTTGTTTCTTTTTTATAATCAAGCAGGCCACTATCTGCTACCCCAGACAGCGATTGTTACCTGCCCTGCTGTTCTGCTCTTTCCATTTTTTCTTTTATTTTTTTAAATACCATTACAAATACTCATAAATACCCATTTCAAACTAGGATAAGACTGTACAAATGGGGTCCCACA